ACTAATGAAGCGAAGAAGGTAATTTTGGTTGAAATTATATACGTGAAGTGATTCTGTATTCTCATTCTCTCTAGCGCTTACAATTTATTCTAATTGAAACAAGCCAAATAGCACAGAGATGAATTGAGCTCTATGACTCTCTTTCTCTCCCTCTCTCTCTCTTTTTCTGTGTGTTTGTCATGGCCATAACAACAGTATTGACTTAAAAAAAAAAAGAATATGTTTTCATTCTGTTTGCACGCTATTCTGTGGTGTACTGAATGACTAAGTTGCTATTTGCGTGTGTGCATGAAAATTGTATGGAAAATTGGTTTGGCATTCCGAATGATAGGGTAAACACATGCTGTATTTTTTTTTAAAAAAGTGAAAGAAATCCTACGCACAAGTGATATTAATCACAAAACAAAATCTCTATCCGATATCAGCTGATATATATTTATAGTTGAATTTTTCAACTGGAATTTGGTTGTTCTGAATAAAAATATATATACGAATGGGATCGTGCATATGTCAAATAAACCAAGAATCGCAGTTGATAAATTGACATTTTGATTGTAGCCCACTTACAAAAAGATTTTTGTTTTTTCTATTTTTTAAAAAGTTTTTATTATTTATCAAAAAATAAACGTCATAAAGGTCATAACAACATAACCATAAACGGTCACTCTGATGATTTCATTTTTAACTGATTGTGTGCTGACACTTAGACAAAATTATTGCATAAGGGAGAAAAAAACCCAACAATTCAATGCCAAAAATCAGAGTATTGCTCAGCGCTGCTGCCATCCACAGCATATTAAAATATCTTGCTGAGAATGCGTCGTCCGTCGCATGCGAACGTACTTAGCAGTTTATACATCACAGCGAACAAGAATGAATTCATTGTTCTCTTCACGATTATGTGACTCAAAACATTCAAACGATTGAATAGAGAACAATGCATGTATTGTTGTTCGCTGTGATGTATAAACTACTACGTACCTTCGCATGCGATGGACGATGCATTCTCAGCAAGATATTTAAATATGCTGCCAGCAGCGCTGAGCAATACTCTGCCAAAAATATAAATAATGTGTTTCGATTTTATTGGCGTTGTATATCGTGTTTTGTTTTCCTAATATTCACATTTTTCAGCGTCCACAAATGGTCTGCATCACAAAACCTTAAAAACTGTTAACTTTTGCGTTAAATTGTTCATTTGAATTTACATTTGGTCAGCATGACAACACTAACTCAAGTACCAAACGACAATCGAATTCCCATTCTTCTTGTAACAACATAATCGATTTGTTTTATGGCATATTTACTGAGTGCCATAAGTCCATCAAAAAAATAACACATTCTTCACCTGTCACTCACTCGTTATCAAATAGATACAAATGCACAATCATATATTGAAGAGTTTGTGTCTCAAGCAAATTTGCAGTGGATTTTTCAAATGAAATGTACAAATTTCAACCTGTCGTCCGTTTGCCGGTCCAGTAGTTTTGGAGTGTTTTTTACGATATTTTTTTGTTTAAGAGAGTATTTTTCAGTTATACGACAAATGCATAAATCAAGCAACGGAGTGAAAGAGAAAGAAAGATAAAAGGTGTACTCATTGAGGATAGTACACAATCAATATAAGGATATTGTACACCGTTTGGCCACAACTAGCGAAATGCAAAGTGGATTATATTTATATTCGTGAAACACTCTGTCCACTCTTTTTATGCCACTTACTGTCCTTCGTACTTTGGCACACTCACACACACACACAATCCCATTCCATTTGGCCTCTTATTCGATTTTTTTTTATTATTAGTGTTCGATATTTTTTTTCCCTTTTTCTTCTGTTTTGTTTTATTTCCTTTGGGAAATTGGAAATGGTTTGCTAAAGTGGATTGAACAATTTCAGGGTTCAAAACTAAATACACATTTGCATGTTAGTTGCTGATGACCGCAGCTGGCTCCACTCGCATACGGTCGCATGAGTATTTAGCTTTCATTCGCTTAAATACTTAAGCATGATGCCATGTGGAATTCGGTTGGATTTGTTTCCTTTCGTTCATTTTATTGTGCCTTCAATTTTTCTCTTTTCCACTTTCGCTCTGCGAATTTTCTTCTTCTTTTTATTTTTGGTTTATATCTATTTGTGCTACTCCACAGACTAATAAGTGGAATGGAAGTTAAAGCGAATGATATGATATTTGTAAACGCAAACACGCATTTAAGGTCGCATTTTGTACCGTGACGAACACTTATAGTCGGTCGAAGTGATGGTAAATATTATGTGAATCCTCTCAATCGGTTGAATCGGAATTTCACTCTTTATTTAAGTGTAATACACATCGTCCACTTTCAATTTAAAGCGGCTCCATTCATTTTGGATTTTCTTTTCCCCCCTCTATCTCTCGCTCGCTCTTTCTTTTTAAGTCCGGCTGCAGACCACCTTTTTTTCTTCTTTTTTGTCCATGGTCTTTTCTCTTGAGATAAAAAGTATTTTAGATTAATTTGTCTTGAGCTAATTAGTCCGGACTTCAGTTTTTCTACAACACTTGATGAAACTTAATCAATTAAATATAATTTCGAGTGCATGCCGCCACCGTCCAGCATTTCAATGTTAATGAAGATGAACTTTTGTTATTGTAAATGTTGGAAAAAGCGCAACGATTTTAAGAAGAATAAGAGAATTGCGATATTCAAGTAATGTTAAGCCTGGAGATAGCCCTAGCCACACCAGTGATTTACCTCGAAACGCATAATGATTTAAGAAATGATATGAAACGAAATGATAAAAGTCAATTTTCGACTATGAATTTCTATTTAAAAGAATATTCCGGGATTCATTCATTGGAATAAATGCATATTTGGTAAGTGGGTGAGTGTCCTAAAAACAAAACAAAAATGAAACAATCGAAGATAAAATTGATATGGAAAGGGGTGGAAATAAGTCGAAATAAATTTCATGCTGAAAAATATATCAATTCTTTCTAATAATAAACAGAAATTAGCCGAGGCGAGAGTGGCAAGATGTAAGAATGTTATATAGTGATGGCAAAACGAAATTTAATCAACTGGGATTATGGCGATATCCTGTTAATTCTATTCGCTGATTATTGTGTGCTCGATTGGATTCCCGCATCCGCATGTTTTCGTTTTTCATCTATACCAAATCGATTGGAAGCTAACGTTGACCCTTTTTTGTTCGCGCTGTAGCTGTTTCTTTGGTTCACTCGTGGTGCTTCCTTGCATCTTTTGCGCCGACTTTTTATGGTATGGCCCGTTTCTTAATTTTTTTTTTGTACTCGCTAGTTCGATCTTATTCTTTCACTCCGAGTTGTCGCACATTCAAATAAAAATGCACGGACACACACATACACACAAATGACGAAGACTGAGTGATGAGGACAAAAAAAAATATGCTCAATACAATCGCGCAACAACAGGGGGCAAATTGAAATTAACTGCTATCGCACGCAGGGTTATTTATCAAATTGTGAGTTAACACAAGTTTCGAATTGAAGTGAAAACATATCCAAATAGAGCAACGTGCAGAAATGAACCGATGAATTGTCACTGTAATATATGTAACACAACAAAACACATGATGTACAAATGCCCACTAACACACGTGCTATGTCTCTATCACTCTTTCTCTTTCAGTTTTCATTTCGATTGCTGTTATTCCAACCACCTCGGTGTGTTTCCACGAAGATTCTTTCTCCCTTCTTTTTGTTCATTCTCTCTCTAGTTTCATATCAGTGCGTCCTACTTATTGCCGTTGAATGTGTTGTATGTGTTCATTAAATTACAGCAATTTCATCCTATTTGCAACGACACACAACCAGACTCAAATCCAATTGTCGTCCTTATGAGACTTTTAACTGTTTCATTCTCGCACGGAATCTCTTGCAAGGTTAGAATTTCAGCCGCACCACTTTAAGAATCGAGCAATTTAATTTTTTTTTTTCGTCGTCGTCATCAACTGTGTTTCGTAAGATCGCAGCGGATGAACGAACGAATGAATGACGAGAAAGAGAGAAAGAGAAAAAAAAACATAGCCAGAGACAAACAAATGCACAACGGATTAACATCGATTTGTCGCTCTGATGAAAAACTAATTTAAAATTACTATCTCACATCGAGAAAAATGTGATAGAAAGAGCATAAGACGAGATAGATAGCATCGATTCAGAAATCCATTCACCGACTCTGATTTACACTTCCTTCACTTCATCACTTGGATTTTGGTTCTGTACATTTTTTTGTTTCAACTTGTTGCAATAAAAAAAAGGGAAAAGAAATGTAATATCGATAAAATCAGTCAGTCTACCTGAAATAAAACAGTTGCATTTAATTTTATGAAATAAATTTCTCCGGGGAGCGTTCTTTGATTTAGACGACAGCTTTGAAAAAACAGATAAATTCAAATACAGTATAAATTGTAATTTCATTGAAACTACACATTTCGTTCCATCTTCTTCAAAAGTGAGAAAATACCCTAGTAGCTACTCGATTTTCGGACGCATGCTTTTATCCTGTGCTTTCACAAAAAGTTCGAAAACTTTAATTTCAAGTTCAATTGAATTCTCGCACCGGCAAAGACTTTTAAGAAGCTTTGAAACTTGTTTAGCATATTCAAGAACCAGCGGTGTAGTGTCTGTACTAAGTGTGGCTTCAAACAAAGTTACATTCAATGTCAGTCAATGAACTTGCTGCATTTTTTGAAGTATTTTTTTAAAAACAAAATTTAAAAAAAAAACTACAATTTGTTTGTATTAAAAAAAATCGAATTAATTGCGACCGAAATGTGACATTTATTTAAATTGATTATTATTGTTGAAAAAAAATAATATGAAACATAAATAAATTTACTGAACCTTTATGTTGCAGCCAACTTCACATCAATTGAACTATAAAGAAAACTAATGTCAATGTCGTACACTGACAGAAAGAGAGAGAATTGTTCTATGTGTGGCAGTGTTTGTCTGTGTGTTTTGGAAATGAGTGTCTTTCATTCAGTTTTACGTTCAGAGTTGCATCGGCTGCGGCCACTGACACACAACGTTTACACTCGCTAAGAATAGTTTGATACGAATACATCGTTGAAACTCCACAGATATACTTCAAAACGATAGATTCTCGCTTCGCGACAACAAATCGGTTCTATATAAACAACGGGAGTTTTTTTATTTTATTTCTCGTGCAATTGTTTTTAAAAGTCACTCGTTGTTGGTTTTTAACAAATGTAATACTTAAAAAATCGGTGCATGTCATGAATTGTATACAATTTTGAAAAGAAAAAAAACTAAACACTTTTTATGAATTCCGATTAAGGAGAGTTTTTTTTTACATTAAACAGTGTGGTGTTTGATAGACAGTATAGACTTTTGGAAAGAGAGCGACATCAATCGAAGGACCAAGTACGAAATTTGATTTTATTTTGCAATCGAATTGTGAATAAACTGTATATTGTTTAAAGCATTAAAAATTGTGTAAAAATAAGCAAAAAGGGCGTCGCACCCAAGAGCCGACAGAGTTTATTTAATGCCATTGGATCGATTGGATTGTGTTTATGAATTGATTTTGGACGAAATCGGTAAGAGAACTCTCCTATAAAACTACAATTATACACATTGATTGATTGGTTTATGTAGAATCACATTGGACTATTTTCATTTACTACAGCGATGTGTAAGCAACTCAGAAATGGAAATTGACCATGTCAATGTAGGCAAAGATTGTTTAATATTTATGTGTCCAGGTAATAAAGAAATATGTTCGAGACTTAATTTACCGTCTGGACAAAACTTTGGATGGATCAAAGCTAAAATTCATGACCGAATTTTCATACCTTCAATATACAGTGTGTTTGTGTGTGTGTGTGTTTTTAAAGCCGAATTGCTTGACTCAGCTGTTTGCGCACCGAAATTATGGTATACTTACACTATGTACATGTTTTAAATTAGTTTCGATACTGTTTGATGTTCAAATATTCATTAAAACTATTGAAATAAATTTGACATTAAAATTTTTGCATAGCTCGGTGTTGATAACACCAAACTAAGATGCGAGAAAGAGAGTTTTTAATAAATATTGACGTGTGCTACAGATAAGTCGAGGAAAATTGACGATGAATATAAACTCACAATACTTTCGACATGGGCGAAAACAAAAATATTTCTATTTTTAAGATTGTCACTGCAATTTTACACAAGACTGTACTTCATCTATCAGAAAAGTAAGTCCAGAATAATAAGTATAAGTGAATGTTTTATTGGTTTATTTTAGACATGAATGAAAGAACAAGAGTCACTCTCACATCCAGAGAGAGATAGAGAGCACATACAATGTGTACAAATTCCTCGTGTGTACGAAAATATGTTTTGCGATTTCAAAGACGATTGCGACAACACAAGTTTATTGACATCATCATGTATTTCGACGATCTGCTTCACATTAACTGTTTGCCTGCAAAAACACATTTATAGTGTAAGTGTGTGTGTGTCTTTTATTTTCATATGAAATAAATGTTCATTTCGAAATAACGTCGTCACAAAACGATCATCATTCGCCGGTTTCATATTTGTGAAATTTTTGATTCAACTAACTCTGTCTCCCTTTCTCTATTGACATAGAGTACGATCAAGACTCACACTTCTTACATTCAATTTCGTCTCATTTTTCGTATTACATAGTTTTATATGTGTTGTTTTTTTTGGCACTTTGACACAATGCTCATAAATTGATGTGTGATAAGTGTACGCACTTCAAGAATGAAATTTGCTGCATTTGCAAAATGGTTTTGTACGAAATATATATATAAATTAAAATATGAAACGTGTGCACAACTTGTCATTTTATTGCAAACGTTTGATGTGTGCTTATGCGTCGTGTACATTGCATTATTGCATTCACCAAGGCAATTTCCGACATGATGATCGTCTCGATAACTAATTACAAGGTATCATAGCATATCGCATATCTCTCGTGGTTTAATTATGTGATTTTTTTGCTGTTGTTGTTGTATCGACGAAAGAAAGCACCATAATTACATTGCCGCTTTAATGATGCAGACACAACAACTGGTTCAATTCGCTGCATTTTCGATTTTATATGTGTGTCTGTGTCAATTCGTGTGTGCTTATTTGTTTTTTTTTACCTGCGATTCGGATTGGTTTTCACCTCATATTGTGGCTCTTTGTTTTGTATTTGATTTTGGAAAATTGATTTTCAATGTAATACATACCGTTAGTCATGCAGAGCAGAAGCAGACACAGTCAATTAAATTAAATGTACAATATGACGACCGATCTGGCATTTCGACGATTTTACTTTCGATTTTTTTTTTCGGCTATTAAAACGATTTATGAGCCTCAATCAAATCAAAATATGATCAAATTAAATGGAAACACATACAATGACAATAAACGGTTATGCATGTCACCGATACAAATTACACATTCAACGAATAAAAACAACATTTGAAGACAGTTCAACATTGTTCAATCAATATATTTATTTGAATTCGATCGTATTCTTGTTTCAGTCAGATTTTGTCATAGTTGATGAGCGAGGAAAGGTTTATGTTTCGAAAAGATGCACATACGCTCAGTGTACAAAGAAAGGGAGAAAATGACAAAATTAACCCTACGGGCGCACGACATATTATCTCTTTCTTTTTTGTGGTGTGACAATACGGTAAATTGTGAAAAATGAGCACTGCATTTGCAAACATTCTTCGCGTATAGATGCTTCGGGCGATTGAAATCCAAAGGAAAAAATCAATTCATCTTTTTAATTTCGGTTTGAATTCGGGTCTTCATCATTCATTTCTAAAGTTATGTTGTTGTTTTTTTTGGAGTGAGTGTTCACACAAATTATACGGGCAAACACAAAGTCAATTTCCTTTAGATGTGTATATGTGCGTTTGGGTGCGTGTATTTATGCATCGTGGATGATTTCGTTTTTTATCGTATGATTGCTACTTGATTTTCTTTCCTGGTTGGCATTGCTCTTTTCGAATTTCTCGAAATGAAAAAAAAAATCGTTTTCAACTAAACTCGCACATCACAATATTCGGCAACATAACGAGAGAATGAGAAAATCAACAGAGCCGCATCAGCAGCATCTCGACTGATGATGGAAAATAAATTTATACACGCGCACGATATAAACACAATTTGGCCGCTATGTGTACGACACACATTGTGCACTGTACTCTACTATATGAAAGAGAGAATAAAAAAACGTACACAGTGTGTAATGTAAAAACCGAACCAGAACCAAAACCAAAGAGCAGAGAAGTAATTTACACATATATATATATACACACAACTGTTTCATGAACCAGACAAAATGTGCAGGGAGATTTTATCGATTTTTTCGCCGGAATATTTGCGAATGCCAACTACGAGCAGAACGAATATACATGCAATACAAAAATAACAACACAACAGGAACGAAAATGCGACAATAGAAAGTTAGCGCACGCATACATTCACGCATCTTTCGCATAGAACTAACCCAATAAAATCGAGTACCGTACAAAGAGTACAAGAAAACAAGCAAACGTACGAACGGGAATGCGAGCGGGTGACTGAGATACGCTTTGCGTACAATCCAAATGTGTATGTTTACGCACAGAACGTGTATGTGTGTGTGTGTGTGCCAGAGGTTGAAGCATGAGCGCCAAAGAACAAAATTGAGGCAAACTGAAGATCCAAGTAGCGTATTTAAAAAAAAATGCTACACACAAAATCGGGTGCACATGATTTAGCTTTGTTATGGTACTCGAATAACCATCGAGCCATCAGCATGTAGCAAGTCTTCCGTGTGGTAAAATCGAATACAACAACAACGATAAGGACGACGACGACGAAGAAAAGTGTGAGTGAGAGAATGAGAAGTGGAAACATTTACCATTCACAATTTACCATTTTGCTTGTACCTCCAAAAAGACACGCACACAGTGCCACACAAACACTATCAAAGTGATTTGATTTGAAACGCAGACAAATCATTCAAGGGGGTTTCTCCGTCTCTTATTCAATTTTACTTCCTTTATTGTAGCATTTGCTCCTCATACCTCATACAAACACACACACACACACACACAGTCGCATACACAACATTTTGTGAACGACGAATCAAACATACTGTACACAATTTTCGCTTAACGAAGATGGCTGATAAAATTGAACCACAAAGCGGAAGATGTTATTCCGACACACACACACACACAATTCGATGAAAATGTTTCATGAATTTGCACAGATCGAATATTCGAAACTCGACCGAAGAAAAATGTCGAATGCTTTTATTTTGTGTCGTCTAAGGTTACAACAACAATATGAACAACAAATTGTTAACCATTCTATCACTTTCGCCCTATCTTGTGTTGAATCGTGCAGTGAATCGGCTACATTAAATACATTCATAATTTGATTTTATCCTATGCTCCATCGAATTCTTCACCATTGCCAATTCAATATCAAATTTTTCAAAAGGTGAACGAAACACCGAATTTATAGAAGCGAAAATTATTTATTCATCACACAAAATGAATGAGTTCGAATGACTCTCAAATTTTTCACTAATAACTCAGTCAAACTATATAAACATATACATAGGTGAGTGTGTGTGTGTGTGTGTGTGTCGCACATTGATGATTCCATTGGGGATAATAAATTCATACTAATACTTAATGCTACACACTTCAATACAACCAACTCGACCGAAATGCTATCCGAATTATGAACGCATTTCTGCCGAACGTATATGTATGCAGGAATGCTTGTGCGATGTGGCCAGCCGATGGTCGCAATATAGACAGACAAAATCATCCCCATTCATTTCAAATTCATTGGTCACGTTCATCATATCATATTGATTGAAATGATATTGGAATGTGGTTTGAAAATGTTCGTCACTCGCATTTAACATGAAAATCAAAATAAAATTGTGAATCGTTGTTTGTGTCGATGTGTTTATATCTCTTTTCATCTGTTGTATGCATATTGATATTGCACTGTGTATAGTGTGCCCACACATTGGATAGCTTTATCGTCGGTACCATAAGTAAACAACTCAATGGTATAATCGTGTATTTCATCGATTTGATTGCATTTCAGTGCGGTACCACCACATATAATCCATTGGGTCTTGTCTCACTTTCAAATGCGATCGCCTCAATACTCATTTTGTATTTGCACGGAACTTTATGCACACACATAGTATAAATTTTGATTGTATAGGCAAACAAAAGTACAATCAGCTTTTGAATAATAATTACGTACATTGCATACTGATCTATTTTATGTATACATTCTTTCTCTCTAATGCACCGATACAAATACCGAGATAAACTGTTGAGCACGTAGTATTTTGGATGCAGCGAGTTCATTGAATCATTTTCCAATAAATGACAAAAAAAAGAATTAGAACAGTGTGTGAATAAGCATGCGAATGAACTAAAAATGCCTATGAATGAAGAATCGTAACGTTGACATAGAGATCTATGTATTAAATGATCGAAACAAAGACGCTTTAATTGTATCATTTCATTTTGATTTATACGATCACCTTCTGTATCCATAC